CAGACATACCAGCCAGTTGCTGCTCTCCAAGCTGCTGGGCTGCATATCAGCTATCGGATCTGTTTGGGTCAACGTGGCTGATTAATAATCGGCCATCGATATTGGCCAAAAAAATCTTTATCTGCACCCCTGCTATCCAGTATTGGGTCAAATCTGTGTTCTGCTGCAGTGATGATCAGACTTTGGTCATGACCCCAGGTAGGGTTGCAACATCAGTGGATGGGGTCACAGGCATGGGGGGCCTGTGGGTTGGGAGCGAGGGGCCATGCTGAAGAAATGGGGCAATAAATGGGGTCATGCTCAGGAAATGTTTGGGAAGCACTGTTATGGACATCGAGATTGCTTCTAGGACGTGCCAGACCTGCTGAGTTAGCTGGGTTCGGCATCGCAGGCAAAGGGCAGTTTGGGATTGAAGGCACGTGACTGACCATGCAGTTTCGATCTAAACAAAGCATGGGCAGATATGGTTTTAGCTGATGTGAAACTCTGCCAGCGCACCTCCAACTCAGTCTGAAGCTCCTGCTAGTCTCAGACGAGGTCTGTGCACACATCTCTGTCAAGGACTCATGCTCTTGCAGTCCTGAACAGTGACCAACAGCCTTGCTGATGTGTCCAGTGGCTTTAATTCCATGAGCGAATGTCCAGCAGGGCCAGAATTCTTTGCCTTTGGTTTCCTTTGTATTTCAATGGAGGTAAAGGACTTTTCACAGTTAAACAGCCAAACGACCTGTTTTCCAAAGGTCCTCAGCATCTGTAGGTCCCAGAAAAGTCAGCAGGAAGCACGGGTTGTCATAACACCCCTGAAAGGCCTGGCTTCAGGTACCTCATTTTGAAAGTGTTAGTCCATATGCACCCCTCCCATCTTAATCAGGCTAACCTCTCCCAGTGGCTGCTGGAGGCATAATATTTAACTTGTGTGTAATATGTGCCAAGATCACACATTGCTCTGCCAGCAGGCACTGTGGAGAGGCTCAGATATCTCTGGACACAGGTGCAGCTCTCAGGCTTCTGACAAGATGCCAGCGTTGCCCTACAGATGCCCCTGCAGTCGGGACTAGAGGCAGGCTGTTGGAAGCAGGCTGATGTTCAGCCCCATTTACCCCCTACCCCAAAGTGCCATCAGGTTAGTTACTATGCACAGTGATGGTCTGATTGCTACCATCCCTCCTTCTGCTGTGTTCATCCTTAATTGCAAGTGCCATTATAATATATATGCACACACCAATGATGCCTGATGGAAACAATAATGTGCTGGCAACATTACCACGTACAGTGCAGCTTTATTTTTATAGTCTGTCATAGCAAAGGGAAGGAAAATTACGTTTCGAACTGAAATTTGGAGGGGAATGTTAATGAGCTAGAGAGATTCATGGAGGCTTTGTCCTGGATGGCAGCAGGCAAAGAAGGCAGCCCTCGAATCAGCAGCATGATGAGATTGTATGGGGAGCACTGAAGAATCATGAGTTAGATGAGCATAGAGGTTTGCTAGATGGGGTACAGCAAGTGGAGCTGGACCCGATGATCTTGTGAGGTCCCTTCCAGCCCCTAATGTCTGTAATGTCTATGAAGTCCCTGGAGGGTTTTGGCAATGAGAAGTTTGTAGCTGAATCTGGAAACAAAATGGAGCGGCCAGTGGCGTTGTGCAACAGTGGGTTTTTGTAGTCATTTCTCTTTGTACATCAGCAGTGAATGACAGTATTTTGCATGTGATGGGGACCTGAGGGAGCCATAGAAAAAGGAGAGGAAATGAAGGTTGGTAGCAAAGGAGGCAGCATGATGGCTGCAAATGTCTTGGCAGGGGGCATTGAGGCAGTGGTAGACAGGATTGTGGAGCAGGGATCATGTAGGCCCATGGGTGAGGTGGGAAAGAGGATGAAGAACGATGCATAGGTTGTAGGTTCTTGTGGTAAATGGACTAAAGTTGCAAAAGGGTTGGGGCAGAAGATCCTTTTGGCCGACACCTTTCTTCCTTAGCTCCACCCTGAAGCTGGAGAAGAGAAGACTCAGAGGGGACTTCAGCGGGGCTGGATCCGATGATCATAAGGTCCCTTCCAGCCCCTAACAACTATGAAACTATGGGAAGGAGTCGGCACTGATGCAGGCATGGTTTAGGAACAAGGGGTATCCTCTCTGAATTAGGTCAAAGGACGTGGTCATCATGGGTGACCTGAACT